AGAGGAGGTGGCGTCGACGTTCGGCGACACGGACACACAGTCGGGCGCGTTCAGTCCGGCGCCGGACGCGAATTCCATCCAATATCCCGCCTACTTCAAGGACCCGAAGGGCGGGAATCACGCGGTTTTCGGTGCCGGCGGCGCGGGGAGCTTCGGTGCCCTGCAGTACATCAAGCAACAGGGCGGTAGCAAGAGCTGTTTACCGGACGTGATACAGCACGGCCGCTCCGCGGGGATGCCGTTGTACGTGCGATGTCCGATCTGTCAGAAGGAGTTCAAGCAAAAGTCCACGCTGCTGCAGCACGGCTGCATACACATCGAGTCGAGACCGTATCCTTGCCCGGAGTGCGGCAAGAGGTTCAGGCAACAGTCGCACTTGACCCAACACCTTCGCATCCACACGAACGAAAAGCCGTACGGCTGCGTCTATTGCGGCCGTAATTTCCGTCAACGCACCATCTTGAATCAACATTTGCGCATTCATACAGGCGAGAAGCCGTACAAGTGTCAACAGTGCGGCAAGGATTTCCGTCAGAAAGCGATACTGGACCAGCACACGCGCACCCATCAGGGTGACCGGCCGTTCTGCTGCCCGATGCCCAACTGCAGGCGGCGTTTCGCCACCGAGCCGGAGGTGAAGAAGCACATCGACAACCATATGAATCCGCACGCGGCCAAGGTGCGTAGGAACTCGACCAGCGACTCGAAACCGCCCGGCACGCCGGCCGGCCTGGGCCCGGTCCCTGTCCCTAGAGGTCTCACGCCGACGGTGGTGAAGCCGGAGCTCTACTTCCCGCAATGTTACGCGCCCGCGTTCAATCATCAACCGCCAGTGTCGACGGCGCAGTTCCCGGCCCAGGCAAACGGGGTATCCGTTGCCGGCGAGTTCAAACCACCGACCGGTCTGCCGCCGCAGTGACTAACCGTCCATCCTGCCGCCTACTAGCAAGCAGGAATACCGCTGAGATTTCAGCGATGCTTCGGTCACGCGTTACAGACCGACGCCGCCGCCGCCGCTGCCGCCGCTGCTGCCGCTGCTGCCGCCACGACGTCGAGTGTCGCGTCGCACCGATGCAGCCAGCCGATCCAGCAACACTACCCGTGACATTTATCGTGCATTTACTAGGCTCTTTCTTTTCGTTTCGCGGTTCGCTTACTTTCCTCGTTCCATTGCTTCGCACAGCCTCGGAACGCGTCGCCAGCTAGTCCTCAGCTCGACGGTGATCCACGCGACCCTTTCGTATTCCTTCCATCAATCGCGTCGCGCGCGTCTCCTCCTCGGTTCGCGGCTCATCATTCGTCGCGGCTCCAACGGACCGCGTCTCTTCGTCTGTTGCACGTGTATATCTCTCTGTCCTGCGTGTCTGCATGTCTGTCTCTGCGTGTGCGTGTGCCTACGAGTGCGTGTGTGCGTGCCTGTGACACGTTGACGCGCGTCGATCGTTGACTCGCGTTTACTCTTATTACCGATAGACTCTGTGTGCCCCCTCGTCGTCCGACCAGTGTGGTCCGTTTCTACTTGTGCGGTCCGGCCTGTGCCCTCGCCGTGGCTAACGCCGACCAACGCGATCCGCCAAGCTCGCCTCTATAATAGCCTTGGCACCCGAGTACGTATATACCTATCTACGTACACACACACACACACACACACACACACCTCGCAATAGCCACTGTTCTTCTTCTTTTTTTAATCGCCGATCATCGTTACCTCGCGAATATCGCGGTTCACCGGAAGCGATCCCCAGCCGTGGACCGTGCAACGCTCCAATCTCTCACCCATCTCCGTCGACGTTTTCGCGTCCCAGGATTCCGTTTCGATCAGCAACCGTACGGAAAAACGCGTGTATCATTGCCACGGTATACACGGCGAGCTACGCGCGATTGCCAAGGAGTTCGAGAGGGAAATCGGTCGGACCGTGCACCGAGGAGGAACGCGGGAATCGTCGGCGTCGTTCACCGTCGAGCTGATCGCTGGCGCCAGAAAAATGGTGACTCAACCAACGAAGAATCTCGTCTATTCCCCCCATACGTATTTTTTATATATTAATGAATTAACGACGTACCTTCTCGCGTTTTTTTCGTGGATAAGCGAATAGCTCGAGAGAGTTCGGTGGTTCCGCGCGCGCGCAGGCAGCAGGCCGTCCGAGGTGTCGTTCGTCACACCGCTCACACACGTACATACACACGCGCGCGTACGCGCTACACGCGCATCGCGTACCAACACGTACAGAGACACGTGTACGAATACACGGACAGGCGGACAGGCAGAGACAGACACGAGTAAACGGACGCGAGTACACGTGGATACGAACTCGTATCCCGGGCACGTGTTTCGCCAAACACACCCACGCATACCGTATACGTATACACACAGCAGAGAGAGACACGTACACGAGATGTCCGAAGGTGTTCGATTCGACGAGCAGATTAGAAGCAAACGAAACAAAACAAAAAGAAACAAAAAATTGATAACGATTGTGATACGATATCTAACTTGCCTATGTTTAATGAAACGAAAGGAGAGGAAGGAAAAAGCAAAGGGAAAAAGAAAGCGGGAAGGGGAATGGGATTGGGAAGGATGAGAAAGCGGGAGTGAGAGAGATATACGTGATGGGAGGAAGATACGTTGCCTCGAGAGGGAGGTGAATACACGACCACGAGAAGAATGCCTGTAAATATGTAAAGCCGTTCACTCCGACGAACAAACAAAACCGAGTGGAGGAGGGAAAAGAAAAAAAAAAAAAAAAAAAACGTTGAAATGGCGCGAAAAAGAGCGAGCAAGAGAGAGGAAGAGAGTGCGTGCATGGCTGCGTGGATGCTGCGTGGACGTGTCTGCGTGAGCGAGCGAAAGCGAGAAAGAGAGAGAGAGAGAGTTGCGAACGCGCGTGCAGAATGAAGGGTGGAAAAGAGAGACGGACGGAGGGTACACGAGTGGGTAGGATCGTTGTAGGATACGAGAAATAAAAGTAGAGAGAAAGGCGAAAGGAAGGAGGAAGAAGAAGACGCGGAGAAAGGGGAGGGAGCGGAGAGATGTTAGGAGTTTGCGGATGAAAGGGAGGGGTGCGGGGAGAAATGCGAGAGAGAAGGAGCGGGAGAGAGAGAGAAAGAGCGAGAGCGAGTGAGAGAGAGAGAGAGAGAGAGTGAGAGAGCGAGTGAGGGAAAGGGAAGGAGAGAGATTAGGTAGGATTTACGAGGACGGCGTATCCCCCCAGAGTGCTGAGCCATAGCTTTTCGGGGTACGACGAGTTGACGATGACGATAGTTGCGCGAGGGGAGGGTACGACTCTTGTATACTATAGTAATATTTGAATGTATATTTATACGACAGGTTATATTATTCTATTAACTATAATGATGATATTTTGAATCGGTTTTAAAATCAGATTGGTGCTGAACGTAACACTAGGTAAGCGACACAAAGCAAAACAAGAAAAAAAAAAAACGAAAGAGGAGGGAACGTGGAAGAAGGCTGAGACACCGTAGAGTAGCGTAAGTAGGGTAGTCGATAGAGTAGATGCTCGAAAGAGGAGTAAAAGCCGTGGGGGAAGAAAAAAAAAAAAAGAGGAAGAAAAAAGACTTTCGAAGGACCCTCGTGAAGTCCGCTCATCCGGAACTTAATAATAATAATAATATTAATAATTAATACTAATAATAATTAATAATAATAATAATAGTAATAATGATAATTATAATAACGATTAACGCAATTTATCATCGCATCAGCCGGTGGGCAAGAAGCTAAACGAAATGAGCTGACGAGAAAGCGGAGAAAAGGCGGGAAGAAATGGTTTCGTGGCAATACTTGAAAGATACGAAAAAGGAAAAAAACAAAAATATACGAGGATACGAGATACATACACGAACACGAAAAAAAACAAAAAAAAAAAATGGAACACACACGACAACAGCGACATGAGGAAAAAAAAAAAAAATATCGAGAATTAGGCGTTCTACAGTTAGTCTTTTATCATTTAGACACAGAGATGATCCGAAAGATGATCTGAAGATGAATAATTGTGCGGCCATATTCTCTGTGGCCTGTTTGTAGTGCCTCGGAATTGCTGCTCGCGGCAGTGATTTGACCGTATTTTAGGATGGTATATTAATAATTATATTGAGAACTGCAATTATCGATACTCTGATACAGTACTAAAGGTGAAAGGACAAAAAAAAAAAGAAATAAATAAAGGTAAAGAATGGAAGCGAAGGGAAAGGAGGACGAAGTGAAAAATGGTGGACGGAGAAGGGAAATCGGAAGACGAGACAGAGAGAAAGAGAGAGAG